AGGCCGGCGCCGGCGAGGAACATCAGCGCTGTCGTCGGCTCGGGCACCGGGGCGGTGATCTGCGCGACGAAGTAGTTGTGGCCGGCCTGGCCCTGCGACCAATCGGCGTTGTAGGCCCAGATCGCGACGGCGTCCGTCGAGATGCCGCCGCGCTGGCCCCAGATCTGCAGGCCCGGCAGGTTCTGCCCCATCGACACCGGCGCGGCCGCGGCGGTGGCGAAGCTGGTGGGCGAGACGGTCCAGTGCGTCAGGTCAGTCGTCAGCGTCGTCAGGCCGTTGGCAAAGCGCAGGTCGCCGCCGCTCAAGGTGAAGTCGGCCATGAACATGGCCGGGCCGCCGGTGTTCTCGGCATCGATCAGCAGATAGACCGACTGGCCCGGCTGCAGGTTCAGCGTGGTGCTGCCCAGCGCGCCCCAGCCGGAGTTCTTGTCGAACAGCACCGCCCCGGGGTTGTTCAGGTCCGTCGAGATGTAGAGCTTGAAGAAGTCATCGGCCGTGCCGTTGACCGACAGCGTGTCCGCCGAAACGGACGACACCGCCAGGGCCGCTGCGAGCGCGACTACGGAAGCAAGACGGGACATGAACACCTCCTGGGAATGCGGGAGATGCTAGCGAGCCGCCGCCCGAACGGGGAGCGGGGAAGTCGCCGCCGCGGGTGACGCCAGCCCCCCGCATCCCCGGGGGGTATCAATGTCCGGTCTTGAGATGGCGGTCGAAGAAGGCGTCCATCGTGCGGTACAGGTGCAAGCGCGTCGCCCGGCCGGCAATGCCGTGGGCCTTGCCGGGGTAGATCTGCAGGTCGAAGGTCTTGCCGGCGTTCTGCAGCGCCTCCACCAGGCGCAGCGTGTGCTCGAAGAGCACGTTGTCGTCGGCGGTGCCGTGCACGAGCAGCAGCGGCTTGGCCAGCAGCGCCGCGCGTGACGGCAGGTGGCCGGTGGCGTAGGCGGGTGCCTTGCCGCCGGCACCGGGCATGCCGAGATAGCGCTCGGTGTAGGCGGTGTCATACAGCGTCCAGTCCGTCACCGGCGCGACGGCGACGGCGGCAGCGAAGGGCGTGTCGGCATCCAGCATCGCGCGGGCGCCGAGGAAGCCACCGTAGCTCCAGCCGAAAAAGCCGATGCGCGCCGGGTCCACCGTCGGCACGAGACCGGGCAGCTGGCGCACGGCGGCGAACAGGTCGGCCACCTCGGTCTTGCCGAAGCTGCGGTGGTGAGCCCGCGTGAACTCGCGGTCGCGGTGCGCCATGCCGCGCGTGTCCACCGTCAGCACGCCGTAACCGCGCTGCTGCCAGTAGGCGATCAGGGGCATGTCACGCCCCCAGGCCCAGCTCAC